ATATGACACATATATTTGGACTCACTAACGTATGCACTAGGAGTGTAAAAAAGTCTTGCCCTCTTGCTGAGGCTGTTGCAGGTTCTATTATGGTTTCAATGTAGTTGGGAGCTTTTTACCTTTACATAGGGCAGCTGATTTAAGGCTTGGGATAATTTCAGAAAAACCTCCCCTGAGGTTTCTAACAATTTCACTCACCTCCCTTCAGATTTGAATATATAATTATACTAACCTCTCTTCATGTAGTAAAATGACTATATTATCCTTTACTTATAAATAATTCCTACAAAAAAAATCCCTACTATTATAACTAGTCTTTCATTCTAAAGCAACTGTTACCACACAAAATAAACTTTTATTTTCTCTTTCCGACTTTTCCTCCTACCTTTATTCTTCTACGCCTCATAATCCACTATTTTTTCGTAAATTGCCATCTACATAACCATTTAATACATCTTGAATCCTCATTATTATGCAAATAGATCTTCTCTCTCTTTTTTTGTTTTCCTTTTTTTTTTTGTAAGTATTATTGCATTGAAATTGCCAAATGCCAAGTTACCAAATCAAATTTATTGTCAAACTAAATAAAGATGAAAAGGATGGCAGTGATACAAAGTATAGACAAAAAAATAAAAATAATAGCTAAAAAGGGAACATGGATTGAAAAAGGTTATGTTATTACGCCAATTGCGTAAGAAAGAATTTTGGGATATAAAAACTGCAATTAGATTTGCCTAAAGACATGGGATATGGTCTCTAGTGTTGCTTTTGGTTGCTCCGTATTGATACTCTTGGTGGGTTGGATAATTTTAGAATCAACAAGGTTGCAACAATTTAAATTGAGTTTGGATAGTGACATTGATCAATTCAAACACTTAATTTAAACAAAAAAAAATGAGACTAAAGATTAGGTTGAATGGAAACTTTAAATGTCACAGTTGATTTGCATGGAAAGTTTTTTGGGGGGGGGGGGGGAATTAGTAGGTTGTCAAAATTGTGACAATATGGGGATTAAGTTGAAGTGGTTTATTGATTTCATTAGAGTGGTGATTATATCATTTACAATAACTGCAACGTGTAAGAAATTTCTTAGTGAGTTTTTCTCCTTCTAAGTAACAAAGGGGTATTTTAAGATTTTTGAGGACAAATTTAGCATACCAAGTTTATATTGTTACTGAAATGCTGATCATAGGAAAGGTAAGTGTAATTTTTTTAAAATAGAATAGAACTTCCTAAGATAGTCAGAAACCTCGCTTGAGGTTTCTGAAATTATCCCTTGAGGCTTTGAGGGTAATGTTACGTCTCAAAGGTATCGACTTCAACATCGTCTAGCTTGCACCAATCAAAGTTGACTTGAAATCTAAGGATTTCAAGTCAAATTGCATAGTTACAAGAATGGACAGCAGCAAGTTTGATTCTGCAGACAATCAAACTGACGGATATTCAGGTTTGCTCCAAAACTTAAAAAGGGTTAAATTACATTTACCTCTCGTAATGATTAAGGTTTGGCCAAATTACTAAATTTATCTTGTAATGTCGTCAAAATGCAGGCAAAACTCTTTAATGGCAAAATATTTATTGCATGGCTCCATGTTAATAACCGTTATGCTTAGTTCACCAAAATACATGTCTGGAAGCCCTACATTATCCTTTTGCAAATTGAGTTAATTACATTTATCTCTCTTAAAGTTTCTGAAAATCACATTTACCGCCCTAAAAGTTTGTTCAAATGATATAGTGAACCCTATTGTTTATCTCCCTCTAAGTTACAATTAGTGTGTCTATCTGCAGTACAGTTTCTCAAGTCACCAGTGTTATATACTCTATGTTAAAAAAATTTTCCATGTAAATATGAAAATGATCAAATTTCGTTTCTTTAATGAAACTATTAACTGTAAATACACCTCTAAGCATTAAAATTTTAAGAATTTTTTACAAAGACGCCAAATTGGAAATCAAAAGTTAAAAACCAAGAAAGACACTTATAAGCTAGAAAGAGTAATAAAAACTTAACAGTGTATCATGGATAAATGAAGACAATTTTGAAAAGCCTAACAAGTTTTAATGAGTATATGATTTAGTTAAAATTCGCTATTCTACATCAAATTATCATCTAAATGTAATGAATGATTGTTGTATAGAGTAAGCAACATTATTGGAGTATGATAGTGACTGAAATAATCCATAGTATAAAAAACAAAAAAGAGGAGGACCGTATAACAAGTTTTCTCGATACTTGATGATTGAAATGATTAGATTGCATTCTAATTGTCAAACAATAGGGATTTCTTTTGTAATTTGATCAAACTGTGAGGGATGTAAATCTAATTTTTGAGAGGGCATTTTACCATTTCTCTCTTCCATCAGTTGGGTTAGGGGTTAGAACATAATTTAGTCAAACCACATAGTTCGTTTGATATTCTGAATCTCTGGGGATGTAAACGTATTTAACCCAATATATTTGAAAGATGTATGACACCGGTTACATGGCACAAACAATGGCAGGGAGTGAGCAGCAACATACATGTCCAGCATCTACCTTTGGTGGCTACACCACAAAAACACTTTTTGGATACTATTTTGTAAATGACTCTGACCCTGTTGAGTTTTTCTTGTTCTTTTTGTTTCTTTTATAATGGAAAGCTACTTCTTACTCATCTGTCTTTTTTTTTTTTTTAAATTCATTTTTCAGACTGCTGCCAAACGTCAAAATTGTATCGGGCAGGACAGCAACAAACTGTCCATCTAAGCCTAGTTTGATACAATGGATTTTGGGAACGAAAAAATTGAACATCATTCCCTATCTTATATATATATGTATATATATATCATATAACGACTAGTTAAGATGAATATGGCCTTTGTTGACTACCGGCTGGTGCGAGCAGGCCGAAAGGTTTCATTCATTGATTCTCATGTCATCTATTTCTGGGTAAGTAATTCTCATGTCATCTTCAGATGCTGATATCTACAAAGCGTCGAGGCTTTTAGGCTCCTTATCTGTCAATCGATACCAGCTGCATTAACAATAACATGATTCCCCAGGACACGTGACAGAGAAATAATTTTGTACTCTACAAGGGCTACAAGCTTTTAACAGCATATTTAAGTGATATATATAATACTAATGATTTCCAGAGAATTTTTTTTTTTTTTGGGGGGTGAGGGGTACTTTATTCAGTTATTCTTGCTGCAGCGTGATGAAAACGTAGTCCATCTCGGAGATTTCTATATGCAGGTTATATAATCCAACAAAATTCATTTGTCCTAGTCTTTTAATTTATTAGCACGATCACTTGCTTTCTTTGTGTCTTGTAAAGCTTTTTAATGAAGCCACATATATGCTGTTATTATTGTCTTGAAGGGTAAGAGAGAATATACAGCAATGGATTTGTCTCCTGATTCCACGTTGAGAGACTTTAGTAATGGATCACTAGCTAGCTAGTATGATTGATGGTATTAAATTAAGGCATGAAGAAAAATACTTTTGGTTGGCATGAGAATAAAAGAGTTGCATTTTGTATATCGTGTAAGCTGCATGGTGGTTTCTAGGTTAATTGGTCCAAAGAAATTGGCTGCCGAATTCGTGTCGAACCATTATACCTTACAAACTTGGCCAAGTTGTGCAGGAGAGATAAGCATATGCTAAATTGATAATAGTACGTAGCTGAAATTTGAGAAGAAAAGGAATTTCTTAGCTATGATATAATGGAGGAATCTATAACACTAAAAATAACATCAACTGAAAACGAAGAGCTGACAATTGGATGAATTTCGATCAAGAAAAAAAAAAAGCCCTTGTTGAAATAATGGTGTGTTGAGGCCTGGATGAAGGTTGCAGAACTTGGTAATTAATTAGAATTGCATGGCGTATGACTACTCATTTTAGTGGCTTATGATTTTATTATGTATCCTTTTGGCAGTGCATGTTAGGAATTGATTCCTATATCTATCTCTGGGAAAGTGAAATCCCATTTCATTCCCCTTTCCCAAGCACGTTTTTGGAATTAATCTTGAGATTTTGAAAACTGCTTGGTTTCAAGATAATGAATTCCTAAAATCTGGCTTCTTTTCTTCAAGTTTCTTTCAGGTACTTGCTTTATGAGCTGCAACTAGTGGCAAGAAGGATTCTGATAACATTAGGTAGTACAGATTTCTTTTTTTCTTTCGTCACCAAAAATGTTTTTCATCCTCATCAGTCATCACTAAACTAAGGAATAATTGATAAATCTTCTGGAGTTGTGAATATGTGCCAGCATTTCATGGAATTATTAATTTCATAAGCATCAGTAGTGGATAATAAAAATGAATAGTTAAATCACTGAACATATGCCAGTATTCCGGATGAAATTATTGAGTTACAGATGCCCGCCCTGCACTATATTCTTCAGCTGTATCTGATAATAAGTTGGTAACTAAAACCTAACCTGCTGTCAAAAACTGAGCATTTTTTTTTTCCTTTTAACCAGTTGAAAGTAAAAATTCATCAAATATCTTCTTTTAATTTTTTTTTTTTCAATTGATGATAGTAGTTTTAAAGGGCCACCAGGCGAATGTGATGAAAATGGAATTGAAATTCGGGGTGTGGAGTGGAGAGGGGAAGAATCAGTTTATTGAGTGGCACTATAATTGATGGAAAAGACAACATTCCTATAGATTATTAAAGTAACACTTGACCCAGGGCCAGGAGGATGTTGTTTTCTGTTTATTTTCTAAAAGCTTTGGCATTGGTTTTGTCAAAAGATCATTGTTCCTTCCTTATCCATTTAAAGAATAATTTAAAGATTAAGCTGTTGACACAATAGCAAGACATCTTATTAATGAAGTCTTTTTCAAAAAAAAAAAAAAAAATCTTATTAATGAAGTCTTGTTCTAGCATATATATATATATATATATATATATATATATATGAATTTGATGACTCACTTCTGATATTACAGATGGCTCCTGTTCATTTTGTCTAACCTGCTCTTGTTGATGCCTTCTGTCCTTTTTGCCACAGCTTATACTTCTAAGGAGTTCGTTAATAAAAAAGATCGATTCCCTACAGTTATTTCTTGCAACTTTGGTCTTGATAACTTCAGTGGAACTCACCTTTTGTTGCTGTTCTTGGTCCAAAGTTTTGAGTTGTTGCATCTCACCAGCATAATCATAATACCGTCAATGAATATCCAAAAGATTGGGAGCTATGAAAGAATGCTGCAGAACTGTGGACACACAAGTGATTATGCTTCAGAATTTTCATACAGGTTTCCCCAGAGTTTTGGTAATCCGCCGGAGGCCTCCGACATGGGGCTTTGTTTTCAGTCTGCAGACAGAGATGAAGGCTCACAGAGGCAAAACTTTTGGCCTAATAACTCATCTAGCACCATTATGGGCCAAATTGGATCAGCTTCTGCTTTCTATGCAGCGGAAGTTTACATGGGATTAACACAACTTGGTGCCAGAGATAATCAGTCCACCTGCAGCACCCAGCTTTCCAAGATTAATCATGATGTACATATTCCATCATATGACCAATCTGAGAATTGTTTGTTTACAGATTCACCTCCAAGAAAGCTAGAGCCCTGCAGTTTCCCAGCGAATACCACCTTGCAAGCGGTTCCAAACTCTCAAACCTCAAACAGCCAATATATCAGTTCAGAAGCATCCTATAGACATCCTTTTAGCGATCTTACAGAGAAAGAGAGGCTGTGGCAACTCAAAAAGAAACTGTTAGGTGACGTTGATAATCCCAATAAGAGACAACATACCATGCCTCTTCAGAGAAATCAAGATGTTGGAGTAAGTTTTTTTCAGAGGAATAATCTCATTTCTAGATGTGAAGCACGAATTCTTTTATGTACTGCTTTCTCGAACGAGAAAATTAGTTCTGATTGTTGCTAGAAATGTCCTCACAGGTCTCGTGCAATTTGTATGACCCTCACTTCCCAAATGTGAAGCCGTCTGGGAGAAGTTCTGGATGTATTTCTCCTATTTCTACCAATCCTGCCTCTGCTGCAGGAGCTGTAACCAACAAGACACGGATCAGATGGACTCAGGAGCTTCATGATCGATTTGTCGAGTGTGTAAACCACCTTGGTGGTGCTGACAGTAAGTCATTAAATACAGACCCTTTTCTGTCTATAAGAAACATATCGTTATTGAAAATTTTTTGGATCATACTCAGAGGCTACACCCAAGGCAATATTAAAGCTGATGGAATGGGAGGGATTAACCATCTTCCATGTCAAAAGTCATTTGCAGGTATTTCTTTCTCGATGACATCAATTCTTAAGCTGGTTTCTGCACTCTGTACCCGTTTCTAAATCAGGTGTCTTCTTTTCTCATTTGTTTTCTTTGTAGAAATATCGAAATGCGAAGTACATCCCAGCATCTGCAGAAGGTACGCGCTTGACAAACAATTTTGCACAATATGTTAGGAAAGTTGTCATGTTTGATCCTAAGATTGCTTCAGGTTATTCATTTGCAGTGTAATTAGTATAAAAAGATCAGTATTGCAATCTCGACAAAGCCATAACATGGTTTAAAGGGTTTACATCAATTATTGAACCAACACTTTATAAAGATTAGCATTTGTAAACTTGGACAAGCAATATACTTTCACCATCCTTCTCCTATTAAACGTTTGCATCCGGTAACTTGGAGCTATGAAGATAGGAAGTTTTAAATGGCTTCTCCTACAGAAGCAGCTAGTGAGAAAATAATTTTGGGGCTAGAAAGCATCTCTGCTTAAATTGCGTATGTTATCAGCATTTACGAAACTGATTCTAGTTTAAATTGATCATCCTTGTCATTGCAGGAAAATCTGACAAAGGACCTTGCACAAGCAATGAAGCACAGATTGACATAAAAAAGTAATAATTCATTCTTAGCAAGAACCCATGATATAATTTGGTCTGTTCGTTTTGGTTTCCAAGACTTTGTCTTGTATGTTCTTTTAGCTCTCTGATTTAATGCTACTCATTCATGTTCATTTAATCTCTCTAAATGGAGTAACGATGGATCATCAGTAATGAAACTAATACTCCCGCACTCAACTCTCCAGAATTTTTGAGAGAGGATGTTTAGCATCTGAAACCTGACTCTTTTTGGCAGTGGAATGCAACTCAAGGAAGCGTTACAGCTGCAACTGGATGTCCAGAGGCGTCTTCACGATCAATTAGAGGTAGCATTTTGGTACTCTAATGAGATTAATAAACTTGCTAGAGATCCAACAAAGAGGTTCACAATTTCTGTACTGATAGAAATCAAATTTATTTTTCTCATTCCTCTTTTCATCATCATAATCTAATTAAAACAGCAGATAAAATACAAAACGTTTTACAGCTGTTAAGTTTCTTAACGAGAGGGAAATGTGCAGAATCTTATAGATCAGGGAATCAAAATGACACATCCAGTAACTGTTTATGCTCATTTACAGATATTCATATCCATCTGCATCATAATTCAGTTTTATAGTGCATTTCCTACAAGAATCTTTCTCTTCCCGGGAATAATCCATCAGGAGCAGTTCTACTTCTACAACTGATACTGTCACAGTTAATTCTTGAGTATCCTTTTAAGCTTCTTGCCCTTGTGTGGTTAGGTACAGCGCAAATTACAGTTGAGCATTGAAGAACAAGCAAGACAGTTGAAACTGATACTTGATAAGCAGCAAGAAACTGCAAAGAGCCTATTGGAAACTCAAAATTCAGCAATTACATCTCCCACTTACCTGTCTACCACACTTGAAAATGTAGATATTCTGATTTCAGAAGATTCTGAGAGTACCCCTTTCTCATCTAAAATAAGCTAGATGAAATGGGATCATAATCAAGTCAATATCTGTCCTATAAGCCTGCTTGTAGAATTCTGCAGAAGAAAAGAATTGCTTCAGTGATATCAGTGCCCCACAACTTTGCTACTCCGACGATGGGGAATTAAAAGGGACCCTTGAGTTGAGCTTTCTTGAAACATAACTTGGTTGGAAAGCAAGAGCAAATTACACACCATTAGGCAATAGGAACTTTCACATACATATTGATTGTATTACAACAAATCAAAGTCTGAAAATTGATGAACATCCATGATTAGCTTGTGTATGGTCTTTCTTGATTTTGAAATTTTGCGCATGATAAGCATAAATTGCATCGAAATCTTTGAGGAGTTCTGAGTTATATATGGTATAAAAGATTGTGTTTTATACTCACAGCTGAATGATCACAAGTTTGTGTACAGGATGAGATTTTGTCACAGGAATGTTTTCAACTTTTTGATGCTAAGTTCCAGATAGCAATCTTTGGTCACAAAAAATTAGTCCTAATAACAAGTGTTGATACCAAAGCACTAAAAATTGGATAAGGACATTGCTGTAAATACAATATGCACAAAACAATGAAGAGTGAACTCAGAAAAAATTAAAAAGAGAAAGGGGATTTTTTTTTTTTTTTTAAAAAAAACAGCCACCATCAAACAAGAAGTATAAATAGGTAACTAAAGATTAACGGCAAGGGAATTTGAAATTAGAACTAAAGAAAAGCCCTACGATTGTGATCGCCTTGGTGTCAGCTGCCATTTTAGGTCATTCCAATTTCTTGGAATCCTATTCAGCTCTTACTTCTTAATCAAATTCGACTTTGATTGAGGGACTTATACTTCAAATTTTAGACTTTCCAAATTTATTTTTATGCACATTTCTTTTTTGTTAAATTCTATATAAAAACTTAAGTTTAGTTTGGAAAGTCCATTACCATTTTACCTGTGTAAATATGCATGTACATTACAGATGTTTTCCCACGTACAAATATATCGCCACAAAAGAATCAAAATAGATTAAAAAATTGGGATCATTTTCTTTTTTTTTTTGGGGTAAATTTCAAGTGCAAATAATTGCACCAACTGTATTATTTACCACTTTTTTTTGAATCACTAGTTTTTTCAGCCTCACGCAATGCGTGAGGATGCCCTAAGTCTATGTTAATCAAGATCAAATGAAGGCAAGTGGATTAATGTAAAATGGTTATATATTTAAAACATGATAGGTGTTAATAAATGTGGAGAATTTGACTTTAGGTAAATTGAATATTGCCGTTACTCGTTTACTCATTTGATTTGTAATTTTCTCTTAGATAGTCAGTCTTTGGCTTAAGATCTTTGCGAATTCTTGATATTATAAATAAATGATGCATCCATTTAAAATGTACGAGTACATACAAATATCATAAATATGGTGACGCTAATCACTCTTAAAATTATGCACATACTATTTGTATCTAATCAATAATGAAATAAGTTTAAACAAGATCAGCTAGATGAGAGTGTCAAGACTTCGCCTTGTAAAACCGCCAAATCCAGGTCTTCAATTGGAGAAAGAAACACATCCAATATGTTGCTTTTTCAAATGGTTTTCTCTCAAAATTACATAGGCAAGAGAGCTAAAACTTTGAATGAAGAAAATACGAATAAAAGTATCTAAAGCTAAAGGTTAGGTAGTACATTACTTTTATGAAATTTCTTATCAAGAATTAGTTTAAACATGTTCAATAAATCTTTTCTTGTTATACATAATAGTGATTAAGGCACACTCAGATGTGTATATAACTAATTAGAATAAAAATATTTGTAACAATAATTCTCTTATAAAAGTGAAGTATTATAGGGAAAACAAGTGCAAGGGCTTAATTTGGGTGATGTTAATAAAGAAAAATTGAAGAAATGTGTGTTAAATATAGTAGATAAATATGGAGAAATTGAACGTAAAAATATGGGAATATTCGAAATTATAGTAAAATTGTTGTTTTATTATTTTGTTACAGAATAAATCTATTTTATCCTTTATAATAAAGGCAAGAAAAAAATAAAAAGAAGAAGAAAGAACTAACAATGCAACACCGTAAAGGGCATCAAGCTTTATATATGGCACATATATGCTTCCTAAAAAATGCCACTGGAGGGAGAGAGGGGAAAGAATTCTAGCGTCTGAACTCGGGACTAAGAGGGTAAGCCCAAACAAATGCCTATGAAATGCCACTGGAATTGTCGAAATTTACAGCATAACCAGTATATCTGCCTATGAAAATGCCACCGAAGTTGCTCAAAATTACTGGATAACCAGTCCATGAGCACTGTAGCAACTCCAACTCGCACTTTTAGTATAGCGAGGGTTAGAGATTTACAGGGAATTTTTGCGACAAAATAGCTTTTCTTTTTTCTCTTTTTTTTTTTAATTTCTATAACGTATTTCCTTTAAAATCCCTAGCGTAACTTACCCTATAGGCTATAGCAAGCAAGCTAAGACTACGGTAGTCTGCTGTAGACCAACACGCACTACATAGTCTTAAAAAGCGAGCGGGCGAGCGAGCGAAGCGAAGCAAAATCAAGACTTTCATTGAGGCAGAAAATAAGAGGGAAAGAACCAAGTGGAGGAGAGGATAAACTGATGGAGGAGATAAAGAAGCGAAAGCTGGACCAATTGGGCAACGGAAAATTCGATCTGAATTTATCACAACCCACTTCGCTGACTTTATCTCTGTCTTCCTCTTCATCTGCATCAGTAGAAGAGCTGCGCACGCTGCTTGAACCGTTAGCCAAGCCTCAACTGACTGACCTCCTAGTCAAACTGTATGCTCTATCCCCAAATTCCTCTTCTTCTTCCTCATTTTTTTCGATATTTGTGATCAGTTTTAAATTGCATGAGCGTTTTTAGTTGTGTGAGTTTTATGGGTTTTGCTTCTATATGCTGCTGGTACTTGAATATTTGTGGGATTGTTTTTTTGTGCTCTCTTTGTAATTTCTTCGAACAGTTGGTGCTCGAGATAGTTGAGTAGAGTTTTGCTTTTCTCTTTTTTCTTTTTTGGTGAAATTGGTTCTATAATTGTTTCTGGGTTGGTTTGAATTATCGTGTGCTCAATTTCTTTGAACTTATATCGTGACTTTCTTCGCCCCTTCTGATTCAAAGAGGATGAATTTTTATTGGATTGTATAAATTGCTTCGATGCAAGTTTTGTCAGACAAGTTTAACCTGATTATTGGCCTAGTTTCTTATATCTATTTATTTTCAATTTTTGGCTGAGAGCTGCATTCAAGTTAGTAATTTTATTGGACCAACTAATAATGTCATTATTGTTGGTTTCATGGCTACTAAGCTGTCCTTTTGGAAACCGGTTTTGGTGATTAACTCTTCTTATCCTGCATTTAGGCTCGTTGACATGGACTTTTTAGAACCCTTTTTGGTGTACAATTGCAAGAAAGAAGTAAATTTGTCATCTTTTTTTGCAGTTTTACTTCTATGACATGAATGAGTTTCCGTTCGACTGCAGATAAAGACATAGACAGAAATAGTGGTGAGAGATAATTGAATGCATGAGGGCTTTGGAGGAGATTTTCTTTGCTGTTTTGAATGTCAAGTTATCTTATGTAGTACAACCAAAAGTAGAGGAGCATTTAGGCTTTAATTACACTGCCCCAGATTTTCTGCTGAGGATATGCAAAGTTTTTATGTGAACTTTTGACTAAGGGAATCATGGTAAGTAAATGCTTGTTTTTGCTTCTGGAAATTATATTAGTTTTGATAGAGTGATAGCTGAACAGGCAGCAGTAGAGGAACCACTGCAGCCCCATGTAATTGCTGATGCATTCCTGGAAAGTGGGTAATTAGAACAGATCATCCGAAGTTAGGGCACAGTTAAATTGTAAGTTTGTTTTCATTGTTGTGCACCTGAAGCGAGCCTGTGATTTGAAAATATCGCTAAGAATTAGCTGCATCTGACACTAGAAGTCAAAGATGTTGTTTAATTTTGTTTTTAAAATTTTTTTGGTCCCTAAAGGACCAAAGATATAGTCTAGGTTTGCAGCAGGTGTTTGTGGAATTTGGGAAGCCAGATGAAGTTTTAGGTGAAGGTACCTGGATCACTTTCTGTCTGTTAGCCATTTTAAATGTTGGAGAGTCTATGACGACACTAACTAGTAGATGAAGCTAAGCCGCTATAGTTATGGAGGAACTATGAACAAAACTTCTGGATTTACAAGTGATAGCACAAAAAAATGCTTTTTCCCTACTTAAAATTGTCATATAGCAGATGATGAAGTAATAAATGGATGGATACGATATTTAGTTGATTTAGCTAATGCCAGCAGAAACAAGTCTCTATTTGTTGAAAGAAATCTGCAGCCATATTATGCAATCACGATAGATTATAAATGAAGGTTGATTCAGAACATGTGGATAAGTTTTAAATTGAATTAAGTAGAACCTAGATTATGTTTATGAGTCCTTGTGGCTTCTTCCTTAGTCTTATCGCAGTTCACCCAGTAATTTGGTGAACATGTAATTCTTCTTTTCTCTAGTTTTGAGTTATTTAATGTGTAACTTTTTCCTTGATATGCGGCCAGATTTGGAATGCATAGATACGAAGCATGGTCCAAATTGTATGGCATGGCATTGTACTTCCTGAACATGACACCTGCTGCCTACCCACAAAAATGTGTACATAAAAAGGATGTGTATATGTTTATATCTGGGCTTGTTTGTGGTTAGATGGACTCTTCTTCATGTCTCTATAAATTTTTTGGAGAGGGAAGGAGGGGGGGGGGGGGGGGGAGAGAGAGAGTTACTATGGGTCTCTATTGATCATCATTCTTGTGCAACTACATGCTCAGACGTTTCTACCTTGTGCTTGGTACTACTGTCTTTCACTTGTACTGAGAACAAGATTGAATTGATTACATCTTTTGTCTTCAACATTTTTTGGAACTCAAAAAAGCAATGACTTAGATTCTTCTCTTTTTCCCCTGTTTTGTGTTCTTACTTCTCTGGGATAGATAGCTAGATGTCTAGGGGGAGGGAGAGGGAGATGAAGCCTGTACGGGCATGGTATTTAACATTGTGGATTTAACTAGTGGTGGACTGTACGGACATGGTACTTAGCATTGTGGATTTAACTAGTGGTTGAACTATGTCATACTGGATTGATGTGAAAAATCTGCTTTGAAGCATCATAGATAATATTCTGGACACAAGTGGAACTTCTGGAAATTGTTTTATTAGCTTCTGAATCGGTGTCTGAGTGTGTCTATCTTTCTTCAATCTGTCCTTACTTCCAATGGTACGTTTTGAGGAAAAT